TTTAATTCTCTAATTTTGGCAAATATTTTTGTCATTTTTGGTTAAAAATGGAATTTCAACTAACCACTATTTCCAATGCTTTGGTGTTAGGCATACATGTGTTTATTATTCCATTGACAACTTTGTGTGGTTGTTTGCAATATTTCATTTAAATGTGTATAGACATGATTGATTTTGGTGGAAAATTATGCAAATTGCCTAATTTACATACATGTACCAATATTTAGGCTATTTTGGTGATATCTGGAGAACTATTTAATATGTTTTAATAAAACTTGGTGCATAGATGTGTTGGGGCAGTTTCCAGATATATTTAGTTTTTGGTGGAAATTTATGCAAATTATCTAATTTGCATATCAGCTAATGAAATTCAAGCTATTGGGTGCAATTTCAAGAACCATTCAACATATTTCAACAAAACTTGGTATATACATGTATTACGAATTCAGATAATTGCAAATATCATATCATGTTATTCTCTCAACACGCTGGAGTTCTTTTTAAGCTCTCTTTGATTCTAATTTTATTGAATATTTCTGTTATTTTTGTAAAAAATTCCACTTTTAGCATTGTGTTTTATTGTCTCACTCACTGCCTTTTGGGGTGTTTGTCATATATAGCACTAATCTTTTGTACAATAGCCATTGAGCAACAGGCCATTGGCCTATTTTTTAAATTTATGGTAATAAATATAGATTAGTTTGGCCTGTTTATATGATATTATATGGTAGATGAAATGGTGGGAATTGAAAATAACAATTTATACATACTTATTGTGCTGTATACGGCTTCCCGGATTATTGAATTCTTTTGTATGATTTCGTTTTTTAATTTGCCCTCAAACGAAAGTTGGCTAGTTTCGTGTGAGCTCAACTATGCAAAAAGTTTGCATGTGATCTATCCCAATAATAATAGCACTGGGTACAGAGCATGAAATGAGGACAACCAATGTAGGTGATAAAGATGTTTTCAAACCAACTACATTACTTTAATGTAACTTTTCGGTGATTTGAACAAAGCCCTGGCAAAAATTATATCAATGCTACAACAGTTATATTTATGTATATTGTTCTTTTAGTTTTTTTTTTACTCATTTGTTTGTCTGAATCAAATTTGTATGATTAGTTAATTATGTTATGTAATATTTTGTAACGTTATTTCTTCATAGAAATATTAATGCCCATCAATATAGAACATTGCACACCAAGACTACCATCACAGAATCCACACTGCATTTCATCAACTTTTCATGGATATTCTTTGAAATCATATAGCATGTTTATTTACAGCATTCATGATTGTTACTGATTTACAAATATTTACTGCTAGTGAAAGAGTACATTACGGTATATTCTGTAATGATTCCCCTCTAACAATAATCCCAACAGGGATTTCTATTTCAACAGTCTTATCAATGTACTTAAACTTTTTCAACAGAGGCTGAAGAAAAGAAAGAACGGCCACAGTCTCTGACACAAGTAGATGTAATAGTAGAAGTCAATAAAGTCAATGAAAAGACAATTGAGAGTTTAGATCGTAAAGACTTTAAGGAGGACATTGATGCGGTTGATTATAGCGATGTGACGCCGGATCCACCTAGTACTGAAACAGATAAAAGTCCAACAAGAAGTACGAGTAGCACTATTCCAGAATCTCCTCAAGAACCAGATTATGGTAGCAACTGCTAGGAAACAGTAGCTATGGTAACGATAATGATGGAGAAACAGTAGCTATGGTAACCATAATGATGGAGAAACAGTAGCTATGGTAACCATTGATAGTAAAGGGTTGTTATTGTTAAAACAAAATTAATATCATGAAGAAAATTTTCTTAAATTTGAAATATACCATCAGGGAGTGTGGAGATCATTTGAATACGTAAAATGTTTGTATTTTCTGAATTCAGTAATGTAAGTTGGATGATCCTTATTATGTATTCTCACAGTGCATGCTTAGGTGATCAATGGCTGATTGTAACTCAAGATTCAATCTCAATTTCCAGCTATAGACTCGGATAAGGAAACAACAAACTCACAAATGCACCACTCAAAGATATAGTGACGTAAAATGATATGCGATAAAGGTCTCACGTGAAATGAACTCTTGTGAAATTATTGAAGGTGATCTAATTCTGTGCTCGTAAAGTCAAAGTACTGGTAGTTCTCATCAATATACTAGTAGTCACAGAATGCTTTAGGTGATTGGAATTGTTTGATTGAGTAGACAGAAATGGAATTATCGCTACATTCAAAAACAAAAAACGCATGTGTTAAATGATTTTACATGATATGACACTATGAAAAACAATCTGAGATAAATACAAATTCGTTGTTTCACAGACTCACTAATTTTAATTCGGATTTCTAGAATGTAGGATTCTCTTGCTATTTATGTTCATGTCACAATTTGCCTGACTTTTTCAATTCGCATGTGATCTTCATCTCGTATCACTTGTATACCCTCATTTTATAAATTCTTGACAATAGACAATTTAATGATCTATGCTGTGCAATCTGACAATTGGATCTGATGCTAGCTTCATCATAGCCCACGATACTATGCTTTTACCCAGAGAAAAAAAAAATTGACTAAATTGGTCTTAGGTGCATATAAATATTGTTCAGCTTGGAAAAATGCAAGTTATGTAAGACCCCTTATATATTACTGCGAAGATGGCACTTACATCACAAGTAGTCCCCTCTTAATCAATGAATGACAAATCTTAGGAAATATTATGATTACATGTATCACATGCACAAGCCAATGTTTCATCTTTATTTTGCCTTCTTCCGAATGAATTATGAAGCTTTCATTTGGGATCTCTGTTTTTGAATATCATATTCATGCATGAATTCACTGCTGTCTGCGTTTAGATGTTGGCGATCCAGATCACAAGCCGAGAAATTTGTGAGATCTTTGCATGGTACATGGTGATGCAATCAATTCACAACTCAATATTAACTGTCATTTTAAGAATATTCTTTGTAGAGAATATATTTGTTAGAATATTTTTTGTTTGTCTGTTATGATGGCTAACATGTAATCATTTTAGTGAGGCACTCGATCCACGCTATGAAAAAAAAAATGCATGGTCTACAGATGAGGAAAATACCATATTTGGTATATATTCATGAACCTTTATAGGTGCATCTTGAGAACAAATACACTATTTGAACTTGAGTTACGTGTACTCCAGATTACTGTATGATCACAGAAACTGAGTGTCAGTATCTCACCTTGCCTTGTGGTGCATTCATGATGAAACGCGAGTTGAGTTGAGTTGAGTTGAGTTGAGTT